ATTCCCAGTTCAGAGGGGTCAGTGACTGAGCAGCGGGGAACAGAAATCAAGGCAGGTGGGGGATGAGAGAAAACTAAAGGATCTTACCCCTACTCTTCAAAGCATGGAAGGCATTGCATACTAACTTAGGTTTTAAGATTTCCTTATTAACTGGACTAAGTTTTAGGTTACTGTGATGTTTGTGAAGTGATAATAAAAAATTTATTACCCAAGAGTGACCAGTGAGTGCCATGTAGCCTGATAAATTTCCACCTAGTGGCAAGAACAGCTGCTCCTGAGCAAATTCAAAGGGACAGAAGGAGAACAAAATAAAGGTGCTTTTGGGATCACAGTCCCTGAGTCCTGCTTATTCAGCGTATCGATGATAGTACATAGATTCATACTCCAGGGCCAATGTACAGATAATAGACTGAATTCAGATCAATATCCCAAGCATCACAAGGATGAATCACCTGTTTTTCAAATGCAAGACAACTACTTAGAGCTCTTCAGGGTCATTAAAATGGTTGGTCTGACTTTAGGTAAGTATTTGTTTGTGATATGGCAATCAATCTGCCTGCCATATTCAACTTCACTTTCTAGATTAAACTCCCTTTCTATCTCTCCCTTGCTAACAGAACAAAACAACAAAAACAAACCCTAAAGCAACAGCATTGGGCTGTTTCTTACCCACGGGAGGTCACCGAAGGTGCAAAAGTTATATCTTGCTTACAAAGGTAGCCTGTCATTTTTATTTTTACTTTTATTTTGCCTGAGGACAGTGCACTTGCTGGAGAGAAAGAGAGTGGGAGAAAGCACCCCCTTCCCATGGAAGATGGTCACGTCACAATCCCTTCTCCTCCATCTCTCCATCCTATTAGGATTTGAGGCACATGTGAATACATGCCCAGAGTGTTCTTCAAGCTCCTGGTCCAGCACTTGATGAGGTATGGAGGGGTCATTCATGTGGAATTCAGCTGCCTTAGCCACCAGTCCACGGAGCTGGTATCTAGGCTGCTTTTAGTGTACTCAGAAATCTACTTCTGGGTTCCTAGTGGCCTTCATTATGGCCTTGTGTGAAAGGCGCTACTCAACAGGTGTGATAACATGTGAGCCTATCACTTCCTTTGTCTTGGGGAGGTAAGCTAAGAGACTCTAAGAGAAGCTCTGATTGATGTTGGGTGCTGGTATTAAACAGGGCCCATAACTCACAAGCACATCAATTCCAAGGAGCTTAGAACTGTGCTTCTGAGAGAGGGGAAGGGAAGTCGGGAATGAGACGTGGGGGGCTTCAAGGGAGAATGACCTCCTTTATCTTTTTAGGTATTCTAGTTTTAGTTCCAATTCTATGGGCATTATTACAATAGAATCTACCTTTCCTGTAAAGAATCTCAGTGTCTGTCCTTTGCCACCAGCAAAGCTCTGACAGAAGTGTGGTCAACTCAACACAGCGGCACTAATTCATTGCACCCTCCCTACAGCAACCACGTCAGTGTCACTCATCAGTGCTGCATGATGGACTTTTGTTTTTATGCTTATTTTAAGGGCATCTGACTTTCTAAATGCAGCACCTACCACTATTTCAGCTGGTTCTAAATGGTTATTATTTTCATCCATGAATCTGAACTGACTGTCCAAATAGTCTTGCTTGCTTACTTTATTCTTTCTTCCTGTGTAAAAAAAAATTTTACCAGAGGGCACATGTGTTTGTGGAGAGAGGAAAAGTAAGACCATTCCCCATGGGCACCACAGTCTTTTCTTCTCCATTTCCCCTTTTGGGAAACTTCTGCTTCTTCCTAGCATTTGACTTTGACTTTTTTAGCTAAGTGGTAAGGGGCGCTCTCTCCCCATCAGGACTATAGATCTGTTGGACTCCTAAGCATTTTATAAGTATTATCTTTTTTTAATCTTCACAGCCATCCTGTGGGATAGTTACCATGGTGACTCCATTTTAATCATGAGGAAAGAGAGGTCTAGAGGGGTTAACAAGCTTGCTCAAGATGACTAGAAAGAATCTGAGCTGGGTTGCTGTTAAGTCTGACTGTACTCTCTCACTACATCGTCTCAAGGGATAACTGCTAATATTTACTGAGGAAATTCTGTGAGCCAAGGACTTATTTTGTTTGTTTGTTTGTTTATTTATCTTTTTTAGCACTGGACGTGTATGTGCGAGTTCACGAGAGAGAGAGAGAGAGAAAGTGAGAAAACACCACTTCTAGGGAGGGGGGGGGCATGTCTTAATCCCTTCTCTTCCATTCACCTCTTGGGACTTTGGGCATGCATGCACACATACCCAGTGTGATTTTCAAGCTAACTAGGACTCAAACCACAGCTGGCCATGTGAGAGTGCAGAACCTTAACCACTATGCCACCTGCTGGACCAACAAGGAGTGTTTTAAGCCCATCACATGTGTTACTCCATTTAATTAACATACTCTCTGAAGTAGGAAATGTAATCATCTCCATTTGACAGTTGAGTAAACTGAGGTCTAGATCATTTAAATAACTCGTTCAAGATGATACATGTGGTTAAGGTGATTGAGACAACATACTCCTTGCCATAATGACTTCTTTTTAAAATTTATCTATTTAATTTTATTTGCTATTATTTATTATTATTTTTTTAATCTGACCAAAGAGACAGAGAGAGAGAGAGAGAGTGAGAGAAGAGGAAAGTGAGAAAGTAAGCAACCTGTTCCAGGACTCAAACCATGTTCAGCCGTGTGGGAGTCTAGCACCTTAATCACCATGCCACCTGCCAGCCATGCCATAATGACTTCTTAGTATGGTGGAATAGTCAAAGGAGAGCTTCACCAAGAAGTAGGAGGCCAGGTTTGTAATTCTTGTTTTGCTATGAGCAATCTTTGTGATTGCTATGGTCAAAATATTTATTTTCTTCCCAAATCCATGTGTTGGTATTAAGAGGTGGGCCCTCTAGGGGGATATTAGATGATGAGAGCAAAGGCTTCATAAATGGGATTAGTATCCTTATAAAAGAGGCTTGAAGGGAGTCCTATAACCTTTCTGTCATATGATGCAGTGAAAAGCAGTCTCTCTGAAGCACAAAGTGAGCTCTCAGCAGACACCAAATCTGCTGGTGCCTTGATCTTGGACTTCTCATCCTCCAGAACTGTAAGCAATGAGTTTCTGTTGTTTCTTAATTACCCAGTCTAAGGTATAGCATCATTGTTATAGCATCATTCATGGACAAAATGATGATTTTTAGGTGGGCCACCTAACATCAGTGGGCTTCAGTTTTTCCATCTCAAAATTTCAAGAAATGAACTGGAGAACCTCCATGCTCCCTCCTGCTCTGTGCTTCTTTTTTAAAATTTCATCTTCTACTTCATAAAAAAAATGAGTTAAAGATCAAGAGAGGGCCAGATGTTGGCACAGTGGTAACACAACTAGACTCCCATGGAAAAGGTCCTGGGTTTGTGTCCAGGTATCTTTGAGTGCACTGGGTGTGTGTGTGATCTAGGCTGGCTGAGACTGGGGCAGGCTGCTTTGTAAAGACCCTTCCAGAAATACCCGTCTCACTCTCTCTCTCTCCTCCTTCATGAAATAAATCAAAATAAACTTTTAACAATGAGAGAGAATTTAAATATAAAGTACTTTTAGACATTCAACATAATTATTCTTAATATTTCTAAAGATGAGGACAGGCAATATTTTCAAAAGTACTACGAAATATATTTTAAGACTTTTTTTCTACCAATGTAAACATACACATGTATAAGCTATTTATTTGTACATGAAATAATCCAAATTTATGACTCTAGTGGCTAGCATCTTTATTAAAAAAATAACATTTAAATAAATTAAACAATCTGAGTGTGAAACAAGTACATAACAAAAAGAGTTAACATTTTAAAAGTAAATCAAGTCATAAAATATACCCCCTTAAAAGAAATCACAGATTTGGGAGAAGACAAAAGAAAAGACTGATCTAGAGAGGTCCTAGAACACAGCAGGTTTTTTTCTTCCTCTTGGCTAACTCCAAAAGGGCTATTTCCTTATACAAATGTTTCTGTAGATAAGTTAAAAACATTTACTAAGTTATTGAAATTGCTTTCAAACCTTCTTCTAAATGTCCCCTTCCTGCAAAGGAGCAGACCCCAGGAAAGCAAGCTGCTAGATTTTTTTCTTCATCCCAAAGAAGAGTTCTGCAGTGGCCTTGTAGCATTCGATCCATTTACTAATATATGGAAAGAGGAAGGCTGACTTTACAGTCTCAAATGAACATTCTTGCTTTTGCCATTTAGTAATGGGTGTGGTATTACTAGTTTGGAAGCTTTGAGCTCTGTTATTCCCCACCCTCCCACCCCGTTTTGCCTAGAGCAATTCAGGCATAAATCAGGTCTCTATGGTTCATGTCCCAAGGACAGGCCAGGGAAAACCATGCCACCACTTCCATGGGCTGAGGTGGCCTCACTGGCCAGCCTCAAACATTCCTGCCCTTCACCTGAATTTCTCACTAAGTTCCAAGCAGAGTGCTGGCATTGAGGCTACAGGAATGAAGATACCAGCCCTCCTCCTAGGAGTCTAGCAGATGACAGTGCTGCATTTAGTTCTTTCACCCACTCCCATCATCATGTCCTCTTTCTGGATCTAGGTATCCCTCTCTCTAAGAGGAAGAGATTTCCCACAAGATTTCTAAAATTATTAAAGGGTAATGCACTCGAGTCTGTGAGCTAAAACTGGAGGAAACTTCCAGAGCCCAGACCTAGGAATATAGGGCTGAGTAGTGGCGGGGCCCTGGCCCCAGCATTCCCGGTTCCTGGAGCTCCCTCTCGGCCAGTGGACAGAGGTCAGTGAGGTCTGGGGATCCCTGGCCCAGCAGATGGCAGCCTGGGCACACAGCACACACAGACTTTTCAGATATCTTGGTCCTTCAGGACGAGAAGTGGCCTGGGATGTCCACTGTTTCTTACTCTTTTGTTTCACTGAAGGAGCAGTAGCTGGGCCCCAGGCCTCGCACGGTGCAGTCAGTACTGTCGCTGTCACACTTGCCACAGTGACATTCGGTGGCCACTGGGTATGTGTACAGGGAGTCTGAGTGGTGAGCACAGCCCGGCACTCTCACCGTCTCGTACACCAGCTCCTTGAAGGTGCATGCTTTCTGGATGGTGGGCCTGGCTGGGTCCTTATACACCAGATCCTGAGAAGTGTGGGAAGGAGAGAGTGAGAGTTAGATTACGATATACTGGAAGTTTCTATTGGCTTAGTCAAAATGAGATTTATTACAGCTTGCTCTAACGTTTACTACTTAAAACATGACCTCATAAATGAGTTACGTGCGATTCATGTTTCTTGATTGTTCTGGATACCTTTCAGAAAAAAATCAAGGCATTCCTTTTCCTACTTCCTATGGCTATATAAAAATATTAATTATTTCTCGAAATATAAAGGAATTAAAAATTTTGATATAGAAAAATTATAAAAAAGTGGAGCTGCAGGGGACCAGCAGTTAGCATAATGGCTATGTCGTTGGACTCCCACATAGTCGACCATGGTTCGGTGGCTTAAAACTCACGCTGGGCGCGTGTGTGTGCGTGCCCAAGATCCCGAGAGGAAAATGGAGGAGAAGGGATTGTTGCTTGACCATCCCCTCTGGGGGTGATTTCTCGCTTTCTGTCTCTCTGTCTCTCTCTGTCTAGCGAGTGCACGCGCCCTATAGCGAAAACCTCTCAAAAAAAAAAAAAAAAGTGGGGCTGGCAGGTGTCTTGGTGGTTAAGGCACTGGACTCCCACATGGCCCGTGGCAGTTTGAGTCCTGGACTTGGTGGCTTGTTTTCTCTTTCCCTCTCTCTGTGTCTCTCTCTCTGGTCAAATTTTAAAAATAATAAATAATGACCTATAAAATTAAATAAATAAAAAAGAAAAATTATGAAAAGGAAAATATGACTTAGAATTTTAAGTAAAGTTTTTGTTCTTTAACCATATACATGAAGTTTACTTTTCAGAAAAATAATTTTTACATACCTTGTCCCAGTAAATAAAAAAGAAGTAAAAAAAAAAACATAGTGTGAAAAATGAAGGCTTAATATGTTTTCAAGGGCTCATATAAGATTTTAAATATTTCAGTACCCTGTAGACATTTTTTTCCCCATAAGAGCTATGTATTTTTCAAGGCTCCTACTTTCAAAGAGTACAGTTTGCATATTAGAACTTTATCCAGCCAGAAATGACTTGTTGTAACACTTTCCAGTGGAAAAATTATTTGCACTGAATGGAAAAATTGAGGCTATTTAATTTATGTTGGTATCATGATCTAAGTTTATATTCCAAGGAAGTGCAATAAATTGTGAAATAAGTAGAACTTGATTGATCAAGCTCATTTATCATCAAATAGAGTACATTTCATTAGAAAGTTGTCATTTTAGTTTGTTGAATGAAACTCGACATAGATTTCTAGGTGCTACAGAGAAAAGAAGAGAAAACCAAGTGGAAACTACTTTGCTCGGATTAACGTGAACAAATGGAGAATGTGTATCAGCAGTTTTGTGGCTCCATTTTCTGGTTTTCTCAGTGGTGTAAAGAAGGAGGCGGGTTTGCTGACTTCATTTTCATCCTGACTATCAGTAAGGGCCATCCGTGTTCTCATACTGTTCGTACCCAGGTGGGCCAAGAAGACCATTTTTGTAATGTGGCTGTTTGTGTTTTTACGTGGCTGTGGAAACACATTTCGGTACTATCTGTTTGGCAAAGATATGGCTTCGATGATAGAAATTGCCTTTTCGGTATTACTGTAGGTCCTTCATGATTAAATATGTGTGTGTGTCAATGCTTATTTCTTTCTACATAAAATCTAGCACAGAAATACTTTTTCTTTCCTTTGAAAAGCAGCGTTGGCGTATTACCAGGTTGATCAGATCAAATCTGAGGCTTTCCTGACTTTTCCCAAACCAAATACAAGCTCAGACATCTAACTGATTGTGTGATCAACCCCAATCACAACGCAAACAGTATCGAGGAAGGGGCTCATGGCTGTTACTCCAGAAACAGAAGATCTATAAGGTGGGCATTTGGGAGCTTCCTCGCCACACTCGGCCGCTCACTCCCTGAGCCACAGCACCTACCCTGGTGAAGCAGTAGCCTGCGCACCACGTGGTGTTGACGCTTATGCAGAAGCGACACTCCTCTCTCTCCACCGCAATGGTGACATTGGTCAGCTCACAGCCACTGCAGCAGATTGCTTTCCAGCAACAGAAAAGGAAGCAAAACTGGACTGACTTCATCCTGGACTGGGAAGTAAACAAGCAAGACTCATTAAAAATGAGAAAGCAAAGAATTATCATTATTACATAGACAACAAAACCAAAACAACTAGTCAACCCAACCTCCCAGTCACGTTTTGCTTCAGCAAGTTTTGTTCCTTCATTTTTCTTTACTTTGTCTCTTGGAACAATATTCCTCTTTCTCCTTCATCTTTTTAAATCAAAGTAGAAACACTCTGTAGATCAAAATGCCAATATAATGATTTAAACAGAAGACTATTTAAAGAGTAGAGAATTATGGCTGTCTTAGTGATGACTCTGAAGTAGCGGTGGTCATCATATTTGCCCTCCCATTATAATTTTTAAAGACTTCTTTTGTTTAAAAGAAAAAGAGAATTTAATCCTATAAAATTATTTCTTTATTTTTAACATCTCATAAATTTTGTTTGCTTTTGCCACTGTTATTTAAAATAAGACTCGTTCAGAAGGCAGGTGAATTGGTCTACAAAGTCAATTGCTGCTAGCAGTTATTACAGTATATTAATCATATTTAAGAAGCCAGGTTGACAAGCACAGTCCTTATGCAACAGCAGTGAAAAACTCTATATTTGTTCTCTAGGTGTTGAAAACTCCGCAATTTGGTAAGTAGCTGTCCCCACTTGAGACCTATAGATGCCAAGACTCACCTGTGGTTGGCCGCCTTGTCTGAGGAAAACTACAGACTGACAAGTCTCAGTTCACCTTTTATACAGAAATCGTGTGCATCTAACACCTTGTGGATTTGCTGGGTATTAATTTGACCCATGCTAGGCTGAAGCTTACTGTAAGTGAATCAGTGTTTAGGTAGACAGGGAGATCAAGTCTAGTCAAAGTAGTCTAAACGCTGTAGATCAGAAAAAATAATGTTACCAGACATGATGACTTTGTACAAATTAAATTCGATATGGTAGCACACCCACTCCTTTACCTTGTCAGACTAAATTTGTCTCTAGCTTTTCTTTTGTATCTTTAACTTGGGGAATTCAGAATCCTTTTTAAGTATTGCTCTGGCTCTGTTGAAGAGGTATATCAAAAAGATACGATTAAGAATTGCTCCAAGAGCAGATTGAAACTATGGGGGAAGAAATAACAAGTGTTGCACGACCTGGCTCCTATCTAAAGTGTGAATGGTATTTCTCTTTGCTTCTGTATCTAGGTCTTCTAATCTCAATCCTTGCTTTTTAACGCTGTGGCAAGAGCATTCTCCTTTCCCTGTAATTCCCGAAATTACTGGTGCTGCTGATTCGCTTTCCCAGGCCTTTGCATGTGATGCTTTCTGCCTGAAACGTCCCTGCTGCTTCCCCGTCTCCCCCAACATTACCCCCCACCCCAGGCACATTCCCCACGCTGCAGTATTCTGGGGTGCTTCACCTGCTGGGGGTTAACAGGGAAGGTGAGGGGGCACTTTCATCTCTATTTTCTATGGGTAATCATGATGCACTCTGTTTCTTCCAGTGGACTAAGTGTCTTTGAGAATGGGACGGATTTGTCTAAAAAACACTTATTAACTGTGACTGGCACAAAAGGACAGTGGCAGAAATGGCACAGATGTAGCAGGAGTCAAATCACAGAGGACTTCTGAGGCCAAGGGAAGGACTCGCATTCGCTCTCCATGTGGGGGGACGTATCGCAGAACTCTGAGTAGAGGAGTGACGCGATCAGATTTAGGGGGGAAAGGATCCCTCTGGCTGATGTGTGGCTGATGCAGGGGACAAAGGTATCATAGGAACAGGAAGCCTTTCTAGGCTCTCATCGCAGCCATCCGGGTAACAAATGATGTTTGTTCAGACTAGTGGGGTGCCGATGAAGGTAATGAGACATGATCTGAGTGAGTCTGGACGTGTTTTGAAAAAAGAACCAACAAAATTTTCCAGTAGAAAGATAATCAGTGTCACAGAAAGAAAAGAGTTCAGGCTAATTGTGAAGATTCTGGTCCGACTGGCAGGTAAACTTGCTGTCAACCGAAATGGAGTATGTGTAGATGTAACTTTGAGGAAAGGACGTTTGTTCACACTTGTTCATGGGGTGGGGTGAGCTGGACATGTGTCTAACACACAGCTGGGCTGCGAGTCGGGGTTCCAGGAGACGAGCCCTGACAGCAGGTATAACGTGGGGCAGTGGCCTGAGCCTGGGAGAGAGCGAGCAGACGGAGAACATGCGTTGAGCCTGGTGTGCTGCAACACAGAGACGAAGGATGGGGTGAAGTTTGTGTTTGTTGATCTGTTTGTTTCTTTTCCTTTGTTTTTTCAAAGACGAGCCATTGAGGAAGGCAGGTGTGGAGGGGGCCGAGGCTGGTGGGTGGGCAAGTGTGATAAGTTCTGCAAGCCGGCCTCTCAGTAATTCCATTTCCTCAGTAAAGCAGGAAGTCAGGTGACCTCCAAGAGTAAAACCGAGAGGGGTTGCTGAGGTTTTGTGAGAAGAAGAAAAGCTATGACATGGTTGTCCAAGACTGGGAGAGGGGCTGAGTCAGTGTACATAGTGTGAGGGCCTAAGAGCATGAGAGCCCACTCGAGGTTTATAGTAAAAAAAAAATAATAATAATAACATGAGACCACTCAGCATGGATGTGTAATTTTTCTTTCTGTTTTTATTTTTCATTCTTTTTTTTTTTGACTGATTTTACAGCAGAGGTTTAGGTGCATGATGCCAAAAACTTGGATGTATTCAGGATTATGATTTTATAGAATACACATGACAAAGTTAAAACTTGTTATAGTACTAGACATTGTAGTGCTAATTCAGCATTTATGAACATGATTATGAATGTAGTAATATTTTGAAATCTGTCAGTAATTGCTACGCAAGCTAATTATCTAATTATAGAATAAATAATTTAATTATGTACAATACTTATTAAATGAAAGATACTCATGATTTCTGGAAAATTATATATCCTGTTAATTGAAGGAGAACTCAAAAGTTAGTGGAAGGGCCACCTTAGAGCACAGTTAAATGCTGTGGCGGACCACAGTCTAAGTCCTAGTGATGGTGGTTTAAAAAGCATATTAGAAGGACCAGAAGATGGCATAATGGTCATGTGATCATGTCGCTGGACTCCTATGTAGTTGACCAGCTTAAAACGCATGCCAGGTGTGTATTCATGTCTGCCCAAAACCCAAAGAGGAGAATATGGGAGAAGGGATTGCAGCGTTGGCCATCCCCCGGGGACTGATTTCTTGCTTTGTGTTTCTCTGTCTCTCTAGAGAGCACATGCACCCTCTAGCAAAAATCTATGTATATATATATGTATATATACACATACATACATAAATACACACTAGGTGCTCCCCAGGATCTTGATAGAATGGAGAAGTGGAAGGAAAAAGATTGTGGTGTGATCAGGCCCCATTGGAGGGTGCTTTTTCTCTCTCTCTGGCAAGTGTATATACCCTCTGACAATAAAAAAAATAAGTTCCTAGAAAAACAGAATGAAAGTATGAGCTTATTTTGGTGAAACAAAGTTGTGAGATCCATGTATAGCTTTCTCATAATATTTATTTTACATAAGCTCTTCGAAGACCCCCCCCATATTTCTAAAGGAACACCGACATGTTGGAATAATTGCTTAACACCTTATGTCTTTGTCCATTGTGTTGCCTAGAGAAATACCTGAGACTGGGTGATTTATAAAGCATAGAGGTTAATTTGACCTGAGATTCCGGTGGCTGGAATGCCCAAAGGCATGAGACTGGCATCAGGCTGATTGTCACAACATGGCCGACGGAGGCAGAGAGGGCAGCTGGTATGTGCAGGGCGTGTGGTCTGTGTTCCATGTTTTTCCCTCTCCTTACAAACCCACCAGAAGGCAATAATGGAGGCCATGCCCTGCCGCATAATCTCTCATCTGTTTTCCAAGGCCCCACCTTACAACACCATAATCCAGTCTTACCCACTTAATCCCATTACAGTGGCTTGACACATTTTGGAGAGACATATTCAAATCATTGCCCCTTGTATTATGAAACAAACCCTTTTCTTGTTACCTATGTATAGTTCCAAAGTATATTTGTGTGAATATAAATTAACTTCTATGTTTTAATGATGAAGGTGTATACAGTTGTATTTCCTTATAAATTCACTTTAGATTACTAATAGTCTCTTTCTATTGAGTGCCTACAATATCTTGAACATGTAACATGTTAAACATATGTTCACATACAGTCTCTCCAATAACCTTTTAAAGATGTTCCTGATATTTCTTTTTGAGAGCTGGGGAAACGGAGGGTCAATGACCTGCTCAAGGCAAGGCGGCCTTCAGTAGCAGAGCTGAGGTTTATCTTCAGGCCCGTTCGGCACCAAAGCCAATGAGCCTCATTGACCTCAGCGGTCTCCAGTTCTCACCCATCCCATTAGTTGGAGACAAACCAAGACAGAAATGTCCCAAAACTTGGGCACATACTCTAACTGCCTATATTTATACTCTCACCTGCATTTCTGCCAGAGGTCCCCCAAAATAGCCATATTCTCCTTGAACTGTATGGAGACCTTTCGATTCCAAGTCCCTTATTGCTTACTTCAGCCTCATGAGCATGTTTCGTATTTCGTGTCCTAAGTCATTGCCCTATGGCAGTGTTCAGAGTATTTTATTGCCCAATACTTACAGACCCTTGCTATTGACTCTTGTCCCCTCAGCCGGAATAGTTTCTAACACATACTAGGCACGGTGTGCTTTTGCTGGACTAATTGAAACCTCACGGCGTCTGGTCACTCTGCTTGCTGTCAGGTGCCCTCCTTGCTCTCGCTCTGTTCTGCTGTCTCGTGGGGGGAGGACTCGCAGGCTGCCTGTCCCGTGCTGTTCCTGAGCAGGCCTTGCCTTGAGAAAGGAGACTGGAGAGTGAACAGAGGAGGAAAGGCGTCGGAGTGTTTGTCTCCTTCACGTTCTGCCTCCTTCCTGGTGGTGACTGCATTTTCTCCCTGACACCAGGTTCCTCGACAGCTCCTGTCCCTGTGGGCCCAGCTTTTATGAGGAAAACTCTTGCGGG